CCTGGGTCATGTGATCATGTTTTGTAACTTTCTGACAGGCAAAGTCAACGGAGAAGCCAAATTCACTTAACTACCGTATCACTAACTTAAGTAGTGATTCACTTAGCAACTATGGCAAGCAAGGTTGTGAAATGGGACAAAGCTCACTTAACAGATGTTTCACTTAGCAACAGAAAGTTTGGGCTCATTTGTGATCATAAGTCGAGGACTATCTATACTTATTTTGAGCGTGGTCCTGAAGCTTGCATTAGCTCTTGGAAGAGAAAGTTGCAAGCTTCTGACGAAGTTAAGAACAAGGAGTATACTTCTTCAGCTGGGGCATAATTAGTTCGTAAATCTAAATTATTATTTTATGTATCACAGGTTTTGGATCCAAATATGGACCTTCGCACCGTCAAGCATTTCATATGGAAAAGCGGGGGTGACTTGACCCTTCACTACCGACAGAAATCAACGTGAGCCAAATGGTGGAACCCAACTGGTTACTAATTCGAGCTTCCCGTGCTGGATCCAGCTTAGTACTCTAGAAGCCCACTTAAATGCTAAGATCTGACACTTTTAACGACTCAGCGCAGACAGAATCTACTTGAAGTGACTAATAAATCTGTAACATAGATGAAATTGGTATGACATAAACTCAAGGTGGTCAGTAGCAAGGTCGAGCAAGAGTGATTTAAGAAGCCCTTGACTGGTCCCTGTTAAGGTGCCTACAAAGATAAGGTGACCCAGTGCAGGTAATCTGCGCAGTTTTCCATTTATTTCCAAGATGATCGTCCTTAATTCACTCGAGCTTGCCATGAAAATTTTTTTCAGTCCTGCTGCTAATTCATTTTCAGATTTTTTTTTTTTTTAGAAAAAACCCTGCATGTACTGTATTTTGCTAATACATTCCACATAGTGAATTTTGACCACTTTGCCGGATAAGTCTACTTACCATGCAACAGATTACTCTTTTTGAACAGTTTTTGTAGTCTAGACTGGAGGGGCTAATGCCCATGTGGATGATATCTTTCATCTGTGATTTTTCTAGGAAAACATTTTGATACTGACTCAAGAATCAGTAGGCTGTGTTATTTACAGGGGTCAGTTCAATGCGTGAACATCACGATTAATTCATTCAGCATCTTTAACTAGAGTTAAAAAGACGTAACTTCTGTTGTGCTAGTTCCATAGGATCACATTTGGCAGAAAACCTGTGTGATAGCAAACAAAGGTTTTCCTCAAATTGTTTTATATGTATTTTTGTTGATGTTATGAGCTGTACACACAAGCTATGCCCAACTTGGCTTTTTATTTTGCACTGTTTTTAAAAAGAAAAAAGTTTGACAAGTCATTCCTATTTGATTTGTACTTCAGTAGAGTCTAATTTATTGCAGAAGATGGGAAGAAGCACGCCAATGGCTAAACAAGAAAAACTAAATTTGTTTTAATTGTAACAGAAGTGTTCTGATAATAGTGTAATAGAGTTTTGATTTGAAACAGAAGCACAAATGCCTTTTTAAAACACAGTCTGGTAAACCTGGATTCTTTCTTTCCCTTTCCTCCTGAAATTAACATTCTTTCAGTCCGGATGAGTGTTGGATTTAGACCACACTGATAAGATATTGGAGATTTGTTCGAACTGTAGGGGCACAAGGAAGAAAACTTTGTTCCGGCTTTGTTTTTGCAGCATGGAAGGTGCTTGTGCACTCCCCATACAAGTAGAGAGGAGCAAGGAGTGAACATTTGATCTAACAGTCCCATTGGGGCTGGACGTGAATTATACGAATCAGTAACGACAATATAGGAGATTGTTTTATTGATTAATAGTAGGATATCTTTTGAGTTATTCAACTGTCTTTCTGAGTGTTTTTTCCTTTCAGAACAGAATAATTTTTCTACTGACTGTTGCAGGGGAAATAGCAGCTGTTTTCAGGTATTTCCCCCCCCCCCCCGTTTATATTGTGTGGTGTGCAACCACATATTTATTTACAGATCTTGCAAGGTTGTGTGACTGTGGTGGTGCGGTTCGACATGTTCTGGTTGGCCATTTGTGCCCCAGCCAACTCAAGTCATGGTTGAACGTAAGGTCTGGTTCAAAAGGATGCCTGCACAGGTCTTTCATACCTTGAAGCCTCTTACTTTGTGTAAATTTCATCTTTATGTACAGAAGTTATAGTCTGCCGCATCTGTGCAAACATTGCAGTTGAGTGAAGTAGATTAATTCGTTGATTAAAGCTAACTGTAACTTATCCTGGATTATAATCCTTAAAAGTCTGTAATTCAAATTTTATACCCTCCAGATCGCCACCAAGTGATTTTAACTCTGTTCTATTTTATTGTTTAAATTAGCCAAGATTTCAATTTTACTTTCTACACCCAGATGGAGCCGTTTCAGAAAGATTAGCAGATGGCCTGCCAATGCCAAAAGAACAAATATGTACTTCACAATTGTATAGAAATTAAAAAAAAAACAAAAAACCTTTAGCTTAAAATTTTAAGCTGTTTTGAGTGTTTTCTTTTAAAGGCGCAGTGTTGGTTTCACTGTTCCAAAAAGCAGAATATAAGATTTGCTATATGAAAATGTTTTGAACTTGCCATGTAACAAGAAGTACTCATTGGGTATGGGAGATATTTATGATCCGGTGCATTTTTAAGAACATTTCACATTTTCATGAAAATACGTCCTCGGGGCATGTTACAAAATTGGCCTCTGCTGCTTTCTTCAATTGAAATGTAGTGCAGTGTGAGAAGAAGACAATAGCTGCTAATTCCTGACATTTCATCTTCCTGGCAGAACCCTGTGTGGAAATGCTGGAGAACTCTTGAGCGCAGGATGTTTGTAAAACAGCCTTAATGAGACAAAAGAAAGGTTTGCTGGCACGGGCTTCTGAGTGTGTGAACAGTGTTCACGGCTATTCACACAGAACACAGTGTTATTGCTGCCAGCTGGTTTCTGGGCAAAATTGCTCCTTTATTTAAAAAGCCGTTAAATGGCAGGAGGCCAGAAGAGTTGAAGAACCAACTCCCCATTAAGTCTCCACATAGATTAAGGCAAGATTTTTTAACTCCCCAAAATCCTCAGCCAGTGTGCTAGGAGTCTGCATATCCTAAAGCTGCTGGCATTGAGAAATGCTGGTCTAAGATACCTTCCTTTCAAGCAGCCTGTGCTATTAATCAGTTGATGGGACTTTGGGGTAGGAATCTTAGTTATGTCAGAGACCTTTGGTTTAAGCAAATGGTATTTTATTTTGTTCAGCTTGCCTTTATATGGGCCTTCTGACTTAGGACGGGTTTCACAACAAATTTTAAACAATACACATTCCATTGTAAATCATTGCAAGACTTCAGTAGCTGGCAACCTACCAAGTCAAAAGAAATTCTAAAAACAATAGAATGGCTTCAGATTAGAATAAATCTCTTTATCAGAACAAACTTTCACAATCTTTAGAAGTACCTAAATGGAGTTTAGAAACAACCAACAGAAAATGATTCTTGAAAGCCCATTCCCACATGTAGGTCGACGTTCCTCAACCTCGGTCCTTTTAAGATGCAGGGACATCCCAGAAGTCTCCAGCTGCTCCATGCTGGCTAGGGAATTCTGGCTAGGGAAGTCCATGCTTCTTAAAGTGGCTGAGGTTGAGAAACACTTGATTTAATGTCACCAATTTGCTCCATTATTCATGCTAGAAGCAATCTTGCTCACTTTCCATATTAGCAGAAAAGAATGCTTCCACTTTTAAGAGGCACCACTGCATTACAAGATGGTCAGTTATCTGCTTGGTAGCATGCATCTCAAATTAAATATTGATTTAGTGCCATTGTGCTAACCTCTGACTAGACATAGAGTAGCTTGACAGTAATTGATCAGGGCACTGGCACAACTCCTAATTTAGAACAGAAATTAAAAACCCTACATTGCTATTGTCCTGATTCTTCAGCTACTATTTCAAGAGAGTTTTTGTGGGGCTGCAAGTAAATTTTCTGCTGCAGCAAATAATGATTATAGCTCTCTGGGATGAAATATAAAACAGAGGTTAGGAGAAGTTCCCAGTCCAATGTACCTACATAATGAGACTGCATTCTTTTACACGTGGACACCTCTCTTGCTGAAATCCAAACCATCCCATTTGTGGGATCTGCCAGGGGCAGGGGAAGCAGCATACTTCTTGGGGGGTCTTGCATTGGGGTCTTAATTCTGCTCACACATTCCAGGAAGCCGTGGGGGCAGGTCACAAGCTCAAATGGATCAAAGATTAAACAGGTTGATATGGGTGAGATGGCTTTTCGAATAAAAGACCATGCTATTCTTCCCAAATTAAAACTTTTCAAGTGAAATCATCTGCAATCAAATTAATCGGGTAAGAGACAGAAGTAACAATTAAATTTGCAACGTTCCCCCTTCCCCCCCCCCAAAAAAAAACTCAGCTTAAAAGCTTTACCTTAAGGCAGGGATGAGCAACCGTAACGATTTTACAACATGTGCAGTTCCCAGAATCCCTGAGTCAGGTGGTTCAGGAATTCTGGAAGTTGAAGTCCACACCTATTATCAATTCCCCCCCCCCCTACATTTCTTATCAGCTGCCATTGGCCAAAAGCCTTACCGTAAGGCAGGAGTGGGCAACTATGGCAACTTTACGACAGGTGGACTTCAACTCCCAGAATTCCTGAGCCAGCTAGCTCAGGAATTCTGGGACTTGGAAGACTTATAAGGAGTTTTCCTGCATTTCTTACCAGCTGCCACTTGGCAACAAATGCTTCCAAGCAGGTCTTGCTCCTTTCCCTTCCAACTCTTGATAGCAGTGGGGAGGGAGGGGGAATTTGGGAAGGAAACATAGAGCAAAATAGGTACACTAAGCCAGAGACACCAAAGATTTAAAAACCTCAAAAACAGTCTCAAAAGCCCCCACAAACTGCTACCTGCCCCCTCTGAAAATGCTATGATGCAATTGGCATGGCTCAGGAGCCCTTCCTTTTTTAAAAATGTATGAGCAGCTAGAGAAAAGAGGCTTTCAAAAAAAAAAAAAATCTGTTCCTTAACTCCAATCATTAGTGTTATTACCACTAAGCAGAACAAGAGGTATACAGACCCCAGAGTCAACCGACTGCTGCTGTCGGGGGTACAATAGTTGTGACTGAAGGAAGCTGAATTCTACTGCGGTTCAGAAACCAATCAAAATGTTTCTGCAGCACGTAAAACCAGGGCTTTCTGGTGCCAAAATCTTCAAAGCCCAAAGGTGAAATGATGTCCTCTGAAAGGTTTAGGCCTCTTTGGTTTCATCCATGGATTCCTGGGCACCTTTGTCATGGCTGTCTGTTTTGGGTGGTAGGGGGGGTGTCTCGGCCCTGCTGTGGGGCCGGAGAGTTTCTTGAGCCTCAGCATCCGGTCCAGAGGGTGAGTTTGGAGACAGGTCCATAGGAAGGGGTGACAGAGGAGACCCAGAAGGCTTTCCCTCAAGTAATTTGGGAGAGCTCTCGTCTGCATGAAAAAATACCGAGTCTTCTGGGAATGGAAGAGACAACACAAACAAATGTTTTTTAGTACAGGAAATCCTCGACTTACAATAGTTCATTTAGTGGCTGAAGCTACAACGGCACTGAAAAAAGTGACTTGCGACCATTTTTCATACTTACAACCAGTGCAACAACCCCATGGGCACAAGATCAAAATGCAGATGTTTGGCATCTCTCTCTCTCTCTCTCTCTCTCTCACACACACACACACACAAATAGGAAGCAATTTATTTAACTACTGCTTTCTTTAACAATAGAAATAGTGGTCCCAACTGTGGACATAAGTCAAAGACTACCTATAATAATAATAATAATAATAATAATAATAATAATAATAATAATAATAATAATAATAATAATAATAATAATAATAATAATAATAATAAAGTTGGAAGGGACCTTGGAGGTCATCTAGTCCAACCCCCTGCTCAGGAAGGAAACCCTATACCATTTCAGACAAATGACTGTCCAGTCTCTTCTTAAAAATTTCCAGTGTTGGAGCATTCACCGCTTCTGGAGGCAGGTTGTTCCACTGCTTAATTGTTCTGACTGTCAGGAAGTTTCTCCTTAGTTCTAGATTGCTTCTCTCCTTGATTAGTTTCCACCCGTTGCTTCTTGTCCTGCCTTCAGGCGCTTTGGAGAATAGCTTGACTCCCTCTTCTTTGGGGCAGCCCCTGAGATATTGGAACACTGCTATCATGTCCCCCCTCGTCCTTCTCTTCATTAAACTATAGACATCCCCAATTCCAGCAGCCTTTCCTTATATGTTTTAGCCTCCAGTCCCCTAATCATCTTTGTTGCTCTTCTCTGTACTCTTTCTAGAGTCTCAGCATCTTTTTAACATTGTGGTGACCAAAACTGGATGCAGTATTCCAAGTGTGGCCTTACCAAGGTAGTATGTATATGGTAGTATGTTGAAATCCTAATTCTCTTTGACTGGATTTGATTATTTCTTGGGGATTTGTCGTCATTTGCGTTTATACCACTCTAATCACACAATTCCCACATCGTTTTCACAATAATATATTATGAACCGTATGTGAGGTAACAGCAGAAATAACAAATAAATCACCACAGGCTATGACAGTGGTGGCGAACCTATGGCACGGGTGCCAGAGGCGGCACTCAGAGCCCTCTCTGTGGGCACGCGAGCCGTCGCCCCAGTCCTAGGCCTTCAGCTGGGTTTTATAAAACCTTTAGGCCTCCGCCGTCGTGTGCAAAAAAAAAAAAAGGTTCAATCAATCAGTCAATTTCAACTTCTCACGGGGAAAAAAAATCTTGCAAAGTTGGAATTGATTGATTGAACTTTTTAGTCCCACCCAGTCTGCCATTACCACCGCAGCCACACCCACCCAATGGGCCACACCCACCCAATGGGCCACACCCACCTGGCAGCTGACGATGCATAAGTGGGTTTTGGGTTGCAGTTTGGGCACTCGGTCTCTAAAAGGTTCGCCATCACTGGGCTATGATAAAACCCAACTAGTCTGTGGGCCATCCTCCCTTTTATCTTTTCAGTTCAATCCCAGCAACCAAATGGCTTCCAACTCTGCTTACCAAAAGATGAATTAATTTCACTATAGGTGAAAGAAGGAGAAGAAGTCACGTGGGCTGTTCTTACTAAATCAATCAACTCGGGAAAAGCAGCTCCAGACATATCTACAAAACCTGCAGGGAGAAGAAAAGACAAAAGGACAAAAACCGCCAGGGGTCCTCAACCTGGGCCACTTTTAAGACTTGTGGACTTCAACTGACTTACCTGGATCCATGACTCTCTGAACCGGAGGAGGAGGAGGAGCAGGAAGGGGCAGGGAGTTTTCTAATGAATAGGGGGTCACACTTTGACCCGAGATGTAGCCCAAATTCTCGGTTTCTTCGGTGTTTAGGCTAGGGGACATCAAGGAAGCCTAAAATAAATAAAAGAATCCATTTTGAGTGCCTGTGACATGACCGTATCCCACTGCAATTTAGATGCCTCCCAGGAAAGCTTCTTTGCTGAACAACAGGTGGATGGTTGGACCCACAGATTACTCTTAATCAGGGGTGTCAGACTCAATTTCATTGAGGGCCACATCAGCATTGCCGTTGCCCTCGGGGGGAGGCGGGGGTGTGTGGCCAGGGTGGGTGCAGCCTACTGGGTGGGCGTGGATGGAGTGGGTGTGGCCTACTGGGTGGGCATGGCCAGCTCTACATTGTTCACGTCAAGGGTGCCTGTGGGGGCCTGGGCAGGAGTGGGACAGATCTGAGGGTCTCTGGCAGAAGGGGATGGGACCGGGGCAAGCACCAAGGCATGGTCCATTTCTTCATTCCTCACAAAGGGTGACACCTTCCCAGCATGCACCCGGGGGGCGGGGCCGATGCGGCAGGGGCTGGTTCCTCGCTGTTTCCAGACGGCCTTGTGGAGCTAAGACTGAATGTGTTTCAGCACAGATGGCAAAATTGTACATTGGCTCCCGGCTGGCCTGGGCCAGGGCCAAGGCAGAGAGGGCCGTTCCCTCACTGTTTCCAGGATGGCTTCGCGGGCCACAGGAAACCACTTCGCGGGCCGCATCCAGCCCCTGGGCCTTGTGTTTGACATGTCTGGTCTAAATTATAAGGTGGTTTTTTTCCGGTTCAATTTGGCCAATCAAGTGCATTATTGAATAAATTTGTTTTTTCCTAGCTGGAGGTAGATGCCGTTTTAGCACATTTTTTCCCCTCACAGCCAAAGGTCCAGGAAGCATGGCAGTAATGCAAGGACATCATTAGAGGGACAGGACCAGAATAGCAATAGCATTTAAACTTATATACCGCTTCACAGTGCTTTACAGCCCTCTCTAAGCAGTTTACAGAATTAGCCTATGGCCCCCAGCAATCTGGGTCCTCATTTTACTGACCCGGGAAGGATGGAAGGCTGAGTCAACCTTGAGCTGGTCAAGATCGAACTGCTGGCAGTCGGCAGAGTCAGCCTGCAATACTGCATTTTAACCACTGCACCACCACGGCTTTTGGTGCTGACGCAGAATACAGAATAACAGAATTGGAAGGGAACTTGGAGGTCTTCTAGTCCAATCCCCTGCTCAGGCATAAAACTCTGTAACATTTCAAACAAATGGTTGTCCAATCTCTTGTTAAAGTCCTCCAGGGATGGAGCATCCACAACTTCTGGAGGCAAGTCATTCCACTGGTTAATTGTTCTAACTGTCAGGAAGTTTCTCCTTATTTCTCTCCTTGATTAGTTTCCATCCGTTGCTTCTTATTCTGCTTTCAGGTGCTTTGGAGAATAAGTTGAACCCCTCTTCTTTTTGGCAACCCCTGAGATGTTGGAAGACTGCTATCCTGTCTCCCCTAGACCTTATTTTCATTAAACTAGACAGATCCAGTTCCTGTAACAGTTCGTCGTATGCTTTAGCTTCCAGACTCCTAATCTTTTTGCTCTTTTCTTCGTAATCTCAGTATCTTCTTTTGTATCATGGTGATCAAAACTGGATGCAGTATTCCATATGTGGCCTTACCAAAGCCACATAAAGCACTTCACCAGAATATTTAGACCTCTTGAAATAAAAGTGGTGAATGAAGTAAGGTATCAGAAATTTAATGCATCCATCTTATGCCACAATTCTTTCACTATCAACTTCCACACCTCAGCAGCAAGAAGCTGGAGATCTTGGAGGCTGCTAAAAAAAAACTGGAGGGGGAAGGGAAAGATGGGGGCTGTGATACCCCCTCCAACTACAAAGAACATTGATTTGCTCATGAGGTGTACAGGAGTTAACTAAGCCATGTCCAGGATGAAAATCCCTACCTCCATGTAGCCATTAGCTGGGGGTTCGGGAGGCGCGTCTCCAGAGGGCAAAGGAGAAGAGGTTTCAGGTGCTCTCTTTAGGGCAGCCGCCTGCGTGGGAATTCGGTGTAGGTAGCCGTATCCAATGCCACATCCTAAGCTGCACAAGAAAGCAAATGTTGTCAGAAGTAGGGCGCACAGTCTGGTTTTAAAAACATAACGGGCAGGCTGCAAACAGAAAAACATAACGGGGGAACTGCAAACATTATTAAGAGAAACTCTACTGTTGGCATCTTCAGATCTGTATTAGTTTATCAGACTATAAAATACAAAGGAAAATGAAAATAATGGGAAACTGGGGGGAGGGAAAAGGGAAAAAGTGTGGGGTAGAAGGGGGGGAAAAAAGAAAAGGCTTTTTAGCACAATGGAAAATAATATTACAGGCTCAACTTTTTACTTTTACGCAATAACAGGTACAGATGGTCCTTGACTTACAACAGTTCGTTTAGCGACCGTTCAAAGTTACAACGGCGCTGAAAAAGTGACCTGGGACCGTTTTTCACACTTACGATCACTGCAGCATCCCCATGGTCACGTGATCAAAATTCAGACGCTTGGCAACTGACTCACACTTATGACCATTGCAGACACCCCCCCCCTTTGTGACCTTCTGACAAGCCAAGTCAGTGGGGAAGCCCCATTCACGTTAGTAGCTCAAAAAATGCAAACAATTCAACTTAACAATTGTGGCAAGAAAAGTTGTAAAATGGGGCAAACTCCAAACACTTAACCACAGAAATTTTGGGCTCAGTTGTAGACGTAAGTCAAGGACTACCTGTCATTTCTACAACAGCAAAACCAAAATCAAAGTTTGTTTGTTTTTTTTCCCCAATCACAAAGCACAAAATCCAGAAGCGGTTTCCAAATGAAAACAAAATTAGGCATGTTCTTTTCCTTGAATAAAGTAATTTCTACTTTTTCCCCTTGCGGTGTAAAATAATATACAGGAAAACTCCCAAGTTGAGTCAACACAAAGCACTACTAAGGCTTTGCCCTGCAGACTCTAGCTAAAAGGAAAAAAGTAAAGCATCTCCTTAACCTTTGCAGGGAAAAAAAAGGAGGGGGGGGACTGAAGAACTGCCCCCCCCCTCTCAACTATAACAACCTTACCCAAATTGGAGAACCCCATTTCTGAAGGGACTGGGGTGTGTGTGGACAGAGCAGCCCCCTCAAGAGACTGCAGTGACATTTCTATCTAATATCCATCTATTTAGCAGCTATTCTTCTTAGTCGTGTTTACATCTTTGTGCCTCAATACAGCTCTGTATCGCTAAAATCAGTCTGTGTGAATTACTTACAGGTAGTCCTCAGCATACGACCGTAATGAAGCCTGTCCACCATAGTCATAATATATTGAAACGGTCGTGAAATGAGTCAGTCTCTGAATTTATGATTTATTTGTGTATTTTGCAGCAGCAGTTGTTAAATAAATGCAGCGGTCCTCAGACCAATGCCACAGTTGTCAAAATGAATGGCATGGTCGTTAAGCCATTGTTTCCTCTGGCGCAATTTTGGTGAAAACTCAGAACTTCCAATTTTCAGCAAAACTGTCACAGGACTGCAGAACATTGCAAATGAGCATAAATGACTGGTTAGAAGGACTATCTGCATTTCCTGATTCTCCCATGTTATATTTCTACGTGAGATTAAAAAAAAGTGATTTTCTAGTAGGCCATAAATAGCTACCAGCAGGAGATAAAGATTCTGTCTATGCATGGCATATCTATTAAAGCAGGGGTCTTCAAACTTGGCCCTTTTATGACTTGTGGACTTCAACTCCCAGAATTCTGGCTGAGGAATTCTGGGAGTTGAAGTCCACAAGTCATAAAAGGGTCAAGTTTGAAGACCCCTGTATTAAAGTATTGTGGTGATGTCAAGAAAGGAAGAGTGGAATGGAAGAGTGTTGGGGCGGTTTTTCTGTGTACTTAAAATAGACTGTAAGGGAAAACTCTCAACACAAATCTCATTCCACGCCAAAGCAAACTTCACGGATTATTCCCCAAATGCATCATGACTGTTGCAGCATCCTCATGGTCACGTGATCAAAATTCGGATGCTTCTCAACTGACACACCTATTTATGACGGTTGCAGTGTCCCAGGGTCGCGTGATCCCCTTTTGCGACTTTCAAACAGGCAGATTCACTTCATAGCTGGGTTACTAACTTAACAACTGCAGTGATCCACTGAACAAGAGTTGTGGCAAGAAAGGTCGTAAAACAGAGCGCCACTCACTTAACTGCCTGGGTTAGCAACAGAAATCTGGGCTCAACTGTGGTTGCAAGTCGAGGACTACCTGTACCAAGGTATCAATTGGACCCAGGATGCTTTAAGATCCAGTATGCACTAGGAGGCCAAGCGTCAGCCTGGTCTTGCCTACCTCTCATTCTCATACCTCATGGTTTCTAAAGCCATACCTTCCTTCTCCACCCCAGGCTCCATTGGGGGTTACAAAAACTTCTCGGCAGGAATCCATTTCTGTGTTATAGACCACCAGCTTCAGAGGCTTTCCCTCATGAGAATCGATCAGGGAGAAGAAATCTTCAGACTGAACAAAGGAGAGATCCGTCATTCACTCTGCAGCAAACTGCCACCCTTCCCCTTTTTACCACCACCAGCCATCCAGTTCCTGGAATAAAGGGTTGGGGGAGAGAATTTGCAGCCTGTTCTTTGTTCAGGCAGACCCTAACCCTTGAGGATAGATAAACTGGTTTTCCAGCACAATGAAGGAACTAGTCACGATCTTTGGGGTCCCTTTCAATTCTATATCTTAAAAAGATTAAATCGCGGCAACAACTGGACCAAAGTTTATTAAAACTGAGGTGTTTCATTACTCAGTCAAAATGAGAATCTGGATAGACAGAGTCAGAGAGTCGTTGGAAAGAACCAACTTTGACATACAGACTGCAGGGGGTTTCTCCCTAAAGTGAAAAGCAACATGTAAATGAAGGTTCAATTATCCTTAGAGTATTTTAACACCCTGGTGCTGCAGTGGTTAGAAGCCAGTATAGCAGGCTACTTTTGCCGACTGCCGGCTACCTGCAGTTTGGCAGTTCGATCCTAACCGGCTCAAGGTTGACTCAGCCTTCCATCCTTCTAAGGTCAGTAAAATGAGGAGCCAGTTTTTGGGGGGCCATATGCTGACTGTTAAACGCTTAGAGAAGGCTGTAAAGCAGTGTGAAGCAGTATATAAATCTAAGGCAGTGATGGCGAACCTTTTAGAGACCGAGTGCCCAAACTGCAACCCAAAACCCACTATTTATCGCTGGGTGCCAGGTGGTCATGGCCCACTGGGTGGGCATGGCTGTGGTGGGCATGGCAGACTGGGTGGGTGTGGCCAAGATAGGCGTGATCACCTCGATGTTGCTCATGGGGAGGGACACCTGTGGGGGCCAGGCAGGGTTGGGGGAGATCCAGGGGGTCTCTGGCAGGTGGAACGGTGGGCAGGAGGCTCGTCCTGCGGGGTGAGGCGAGGCAAGACAGCCAGGGCGGGGGTGCGATTATCACAGGGCAAGGTGAGGCATTGCCCGGAGCAGCTGCTACCTGACACCATCAGCCCCTGCACACAGAGGCCAGTGAGCGCATGAGTGCTGGGATGCATCCGGCCATGTGGAACCTCGGCGAGTTAGCGACCGGCTGGTTGAAGAGGGACGGTTGCCATCTCCGGGGCATGGCGCGCGTGCCCACAGAGAGGGCTATGAGTGCCGCCTCTGGTACGCGTGCCATAGGTTCACCACCACTAAGGTCTAAGGGCTCTCACTATTGCTAAAATATTACTTTTACTTAAAGTATCTTAAAAGATTACTTTTAATCATGGCAACTGGACCAAAGTTTATTAAAATGGAGATGTTTCAAAGTTACTTGGACCAGTAACAAAACATCCCAGTTTTAATAAACTCTGGTCCAGTTGCCATGATTTAACCTTTTAAGATACTTTTGGCCTGGATGATTGAATCTCCGTTAGCATGTTTCAATTCCACGATTTTAGGATGCTGTGCTCTCCATGCACTCACCCATCCTTAGAAAATGCTCCAAAATACAGCAAAACACCATAATGCAACATTCTTCAGCCTTGCAACTTTAAGATGTCTGGATTTCTGGGTTTCAATCCCCAGAATTCCCCAGCTAGCGTGCTGGCTGGTGAATTCTGGGAATTGAAGTCCACCTATGCTGGCTAGGAGATGCTGGGGGTGGAAGTCCACTCATCCAGGCTGAAGGATTCTGGGAGTTGAAGTCCAGATATCTTAAACCAATAGAAGAGGATATATATAGCTCAGGGTTGAACTGTGGAGTCCTGATCTCTTAGCCTGGCTGCTTTCTTGCAGACAGTTCATTACCCAAGTAGGTAACTTCAGATGTTACTTCAGAACCAAGGACTCTGCAGTCTTAAGGCAGCCACGTTTGAGAAATGTTGCCATAAGGGGAGAGAATTACTTTTTTAGTTTTTAGCCTTCATGAGTTGTGGACATGGAGAAAGGAAACCATGCTTTGGGAGAAGAGACATCCACAGGGGGTGGAGAGGGAAGGACAAGGGGAGGCAAACAACAAAAGCATCATTACACCTTAAATTCTGTCCCTCCTGTACATCCATCGCGGTATCACATGCATGTATGAAGCAGATGGAGGCTGCATGATGATGGGACAGTGCTGTTTCCCTGACTTTGCTAAACAATTTTTTAAAACTTTTTCAAGCCAGAGATTTAGTTTAACAAAACAAAAAAAAAATCCCAGGAGCCCTGATCAAGAGGCAAAGTTCTAACAACAGAAAACTAGTTGCATTCCCCCAATGAATCAGAATAGAACTGGAAGAGATCATGGAGGTCTTCTAGTCCAACCCCCTGCTCAAGCAGGAGACCCTATATAATTTGAGAGGAGTGACTTTCCAGTTCTTCTTAAAAACCTCCAGTGAAAAACTTCTTAGTCTCAAGTTCATGGGGACCCTTAAAAATGTCTGTGAACCACAGTTTGACAAACCCTAGCCCAGGGGTAGGTAACCTTGGCTCTTTTATGACTTGTGGACTTCAACTCCCAGAATTCCTGAGCCAGCAGAGCTCAGCATGGAAATCTTTCCTTCTCCTCAGCATGGCTGGCTCAGGAATTCTGGGAGTTGAAGTCCACGAGAGCCAAGGTTGCCTACCCCTGCCCTAGCTTAAATTATTAGGGCCCATAAGAACTTCTGCCTAGGAAAGCAAAAAAAAAAAAAAAGGCAAGAAAAGGGGGTATCCAATCTTTAAGACTTGGGGACTTCAACTCCCAGAATTCTCCAGCCAGCCATGCTGGCTGAGGAATTCTGGGAGTTGAAGTCCACAAGTCTTAAAGTTGCCAAGTTTGGACATCCTTAGTTTAGATGCAAAGGGAAGCCTGAAAATGCAGTACCCCATGCAATGCTCTCTCTTTCCCACCATATTTTGGTTAGTTTTGCTTTTTGCATGAAGCTTTCTCAAGCTCTTGGCAGTAAAGGGAGGGAGGCCGGAACCAAAGGAGTTTTATGCGCAGCAATGCTCCCACAGTAAGAAATCAAGCACCAGAGAAGAAAAGGTGGAAAGGAAGCAAGCGCAGAACAATCGAGGCCTAAGAAATATTCACAGCCATCAGCACCAAAGATCAATCTCTCCTGACTTCACTTTGGGCGTCAGTTACAACTCATCTGAATCTTTTACCTCGTGGAGTATCTGATCCGATCCAATTATGTAGTCAGAATGGGGCTTCAGGCCAGCTAATGCTGCCGGAGAAGCTGGCTCCACATCCTAGACAAGAGAGAAAGACCGTGGTTATGGCTATGGCCCATATTCAACAAAGCCAGTGGGGAAAGCATTTTAAGTCAGTGCTTGGTAAACCTTTTTGAGGGGGGGGTCTTGACTCCTGGCAACTACTTGCGCAACTCCAGCAGTTTTCTTGGCAAGGTTTTCTAAGTAGTTTCCTATGGTCTTCTTAGGATTAAGAGGGAGGAACTGGCCCAAGGCCACAAAGCTGACCAACATCTAAGGTAGGATGAGAATTCACCATTTCCCAGTTTCTAATCTGATTGTATTTATGTATATCCCACCCTTATTATTTTTGTTAAGTAATTCAAGGTAGCCAACATACATAATGCTCCTTCCTCCATCTATTTTCCTCAAAATCATGTGAGTTGTTCCAAAGATGATTTTTTTTTTCACAAGGCAACTGGACTTTCTTGTTTTTCTTTGAAGACGTTTCGCTTCTCATCCAAGAAGCTTCTTCAGCTCTGACTGGATGGTGGGGAATGGAAGGATTTATACTCCTTGCAGACAGCTGGTCATTTGCATTCTTTTAGAGAGTCGTTGAGGCCATGTGGAGGTTTGTCTGTGTCCTCACAGTCACATCAGTAGTGCAAATGGGTGTGGAGCCTCCTTGGAACTGTATAAATCCTTCCATCCCCCACCTTCCAGTCAGAGCTTTTCTTTCTTCAAAAGAAAAACAAGAAAGTCCAGTTGTCTCCTGAAAAAGCATTTTTGGGTTGTTGTCTGCCCGTTTATAGCCCAATAACTTAACCACCACACCCGACGTAAGTAGATGGATCAATGTTTTGGAAAAAAAACACTTGTTCCTCATTTTGAATACCGTGGAATGAAAAAGTTCCTTGTATTTTTTTTTTTTCATTGAAAAAGTTACACTCTGCGTTAAAGATGTGAATTCTAATTAAACATGACTGCATTCTGTAATATACAACAGATTTTTTTTCTCCTGCAAACTGATTTTTCTAATGCAGATTTATACATGGAAATAATTGCAAGAGTTGCTGCAGAATTTTTTTTAAAAAAAAAACTTATTAACAAATAATTTCTAATTCTATCCAAGATAGAGGTGGCAGAACTGAGGGCACAAAGGGGTAGGATATGTGGTGCTCCACCTAAACAAAATAGTATCTTCTAATACAGAGGCCCCCAACCTTTTGGGCACCAGGGACCGATTCTATGGAGAAAGAATTTTCCGCAGACCGGAGAGTGTGTGGTTTTGTGTGCTGCCTGCATCCCGCGGATGGGGCTTTCCTTGTTTGCGCGGCCCGGCTGCTGGCATGCCATGGTGCTGTTCCATGGACCAGGGGTTGGGGACCCCTATTCTAATAACACTGAATTTGCAAAGCAAGCAAATTAGTGTGCAAAGTGTTCCTTAAAAAGGCAGAGGTTTGAAAACTAAATCAAAAGAGCAAAGGAAACAAAAGGAGGGGCACAGGAGAAAGAAAAAAAAAATCAAAAATAATATTTCTAAGGTAGTCTTCAACTTATGATCGCAGTGGGGGTTCAGAATTTGTTGCTAAGTGATGCAGTTGAATCACATCTATTTTTCCAACCTTTCTTACCATGGGCATTAAGTGAATCTGACTTCCCCCACTGCCTTCATGTGTTGGAACCCCCCCCCCGGCAAGCTTGCAAATGGGGATCGGGTGACCCTGGAATGCTGCAACTGTAGTGAATCAATGCTAGTTGCTAACGTTGATCGTGCATGCGAATGTGAGAACTGGTCATAAGTCACTTTTTCCAGCATTAATGTACCTTCAAACGATTATTAAAAGGAGCAGGTCTTAAGTTGAGGACTACCTGTAAACATCTAAATAAAGTTGTCTCCGGGTTAAACTTGATTCATTATAACTCCATGTTTTCCCCCTGGGAGTAATACAGTGGTTTTCCTTCTTGTCCAGCTTAAACCACTGGTTTTCTGCACTGACCTTGCTTAGCATTCCAGATCAGCCAAGGGCAACTTGTTTCTAGGAATTCTGGGAGTTGGAGTCCACACAGCTTAGCGACTTGAGGCTGGGCAACACTGATCCGGAAGTTGCAGTTGATACAAAATGCAGCATGGTGGGTATCTGTGCTCCTTTACACCTGTGCCCTGTGAACTGCACTAGTTGCCGTATCCTTTCTGGGCTCCATTCAAAATGGTGGCAGCTGCCTATAAGTGGCTCTCCATGGCACGGGGCCAGGTTATTTGCAGGATCACCTCTCCCCAGTCACATCTACCTGTCCCCTCAGATCTGGCACTAGGGCAGGGGTAGGCCACCTTGGCTCTTTTATGACTGGTGGACTTCAACTCCCAGAATTCCTGAGCCAGCATGGCTCAGCTTGGAAACCTCTCCCTTTCCCCTCAGCATGGCTGGCTCAGGAATTCTGGAAGTGGAAGTCCACGAGTCATAAAAGAGCCAAGGTGGCCTACCCCTGGACTAGAGGCATGCTACGAACCCTACTCATTAAAGGACCCACCAAGAGAACCTTCTGGAACCTCGTCTCCCATCCCACCTCAGATATTAGCCCCAGCCCCATTGACCTCTGGGCATCCTTGAAGAGTTGGCTAAGTCACCGGGCATGGGAGTCTGAGTAGCTGATGAAACCTCTGACTTTTGTTTTGATTTATTATCATATTCACTGTCAATTGTCTCTTTCGTATCTGTGTTGTTCTTTAGCTGACTTTCTTCCCATTGTAGTTAGCTGCCCAGAGTCACTGATAAATTAAATAAGTGGTTAAATAAACTGGTTTCATAGGAACTTAAGAAGCCCTCCTAACCTGTCTCAGTCAGGTGCACCTGCTGAAGGACTGCGGGAAGGCCAGAGAGATTATGGGTCCCACCTAGATAACTGATGGGACATAGAAGCGGGGCCTTCTCTGTAGTGGCTCCCTCCCTTTGGAACATCATTCCCCAAGTAATAAGGTTGGCCTAATCCTTATTATTTTTTTTTTTGCAAGGCCCCAAAGATAGGTTCCCTCAGCGGGTCTGAGGAGCTCAGATTATTTTGGAGCTGATCAAGTGGCTTGTATGATTGTGTTTGTCGCTGCCAAAGGCCACAGGGATTTCTGGAATTTTCATATCGTTGATGTTTAAGGCTGTACACCACCCGGAGTCACTGTGAGTGGGGCAGCCATACAAATCTGTCTGTCTGTCTATGGCCGCTCGCTACTCTCAGCGGGCAGCCAACAAACAATAAAAAAAACCCTCAATATAAAAAGAATAAAAACAATACCTCTCCCCCCCACTCCATGGTGACAACAAGCAATCAAACCAGCCACTTGATGAGCTCTATCCCACTCTGGGTTCCCCAGGCCTGTTGGCAAAGGCCACGTCTTCAGGACCTTGCGAAAGAGTGTTAAAACGGGATTCAGTCTAATCTCTGAGAGGAGCCACCACGGAGAAGGCCCTACTTCTGGTTCCTGTCAGATTAGGAGATGGGACCTGAAACATTCTCTGCATCCCACTCTGGGGGGGGGGAGGGTCAGGTAGATGTAACCGGAAAGAGATGGTCCTTCTGATAACCTGCAAATAAACATGTATAGATAAGCTATTCTCTCCTTCCGGCAGTGCTTCTTAGCAACTAAAATCTGATAATCCGGCTGTGATTCGAGGTAACAACCAATCAGGACTAGCAGTCACAGAAAGCCCAATGCAGCCTCCCTTTTCCTGCTTACCAGCACATGCCAGACGTGTTCATTGGCACCTTGGAAACTGCAGAATCGCACACTGGCCCCTAGCAGTCCCTGCCCTCCCCACATATTGCTGGGGATGACCTCCACTTCCCGTACTTTCATCGTTTTTATGTTGTAGACTTCCAGTTTCACAGCTTTCTCAACGTTGGCTTTTAGTAGATCTTTCAGGGTGTTGCCTTCTTTATTCTACATGCAGGGAGGGAGGAAAAAATGAAGACTTTGTATCTGGACATGGTAACAAACACATAAGAAAGAAAATAGCTTAGAAGCATCTGGCCAGGAAACAGAATATTTCTTTTTTTTTCTTTTCTTTTCTTTTCTTTTCTTTTCTTTTCTTTTTCTTTCTTTCTTTCTTTCTTTCTTTCTTTCTTTCTTTCTTTCTTTTCTTTCTCTCTCTCTCTCTCTCTCTCTCTCTCTCTCTTTCTTTCTTTCTTTCTTTCTCATTCATTCATTCATTCATTCATTCATTCATTCATTCATTCTAGATGGCCAGCCACCCTCCCAGCTCAGTTCTTTCCAAATCTGGAAAGAAATTTAAACTTTAATTTTACAGTTATTGATGGAAAGTAAGTCCCAGTCAACCAACTTCCAGATAAATACAGACTTATCACACATTCAGTGACTATTCAAAGTTACAGTGCTGCTGAAAAAAATGACGATTGTTTTTCACACTAACAACCATTATAGCATCCCCGTGGTCATGTGATCAAAATTCAGGCACTTGGCAACTGGTATATATTTATGACACTTGCACTATCGTGAGGTCATGTGATCTCCATAGGTAACCTGTCCAGCTGGCTTCTGACAAGCAAAGTCAACGGGGAAAATCAGATTTGCCTAGTGACTGCATGGCATCTGCTTAACAATTATAGTGATTTCCTTAACAACGGTGACAAGAAGATAATTAAATTGGTCACAAACCCCTTAACAACTGTTGTGCTTCAGAGGCTTGGCAACTGGTTCATACTTACGACTGTGGGTGTGTCCCAAGGTCACATGACCCCCTTTTGCAATCTTCTGATGAGCAAAGTCAAAGGGGAAGCCAGATTCACTTAATAGCCGTGTTGCTAACTTAGCAACTAGTGATTCATTTAACAACTGTGGCAAGAAAGGTCATAAAGTGGGGAAAAAAACTCACTTAACAAATATCTCACTTAACGGAAGTTTGGGGCTCAATTATTATGGTAAGTTGAGGCCTTCCTGTCCTCAGATGCCACGTTGGCTAAATGAAACACCAGCCTGCAGGGTTACCAGCTAGCTTTCTTTCTCATCTCTGCATGCCTTTGTCAACCAGCTTTTAATGTGTTAATTATTAACAGAGTCGCAGCTGGTCAAATATTGAGAGCTGGTTTGGTGACTCAGCATTAAGTCAACACCCTCCCTACCTTCCCTCCAAAGCTGTGCCAAAACGGGCAAAGTCTTGATGGTACCGAACGGGTTTGACGCTCAAAAACTCAAGACGCTTCGAGCGAAGGTGCCAAGACCATGCAGGACAGCTTCTCCCCACACATCAGGTTGGCATTTCACAAGCAGTCCTCAACTTACAACTTACACTCATTTAGTGACCGTTCAACATTACAACAGCACTGAAAAAAAGTGAAATGAACAGTTTTCACACTTGTGACTGTTGCAGCATCAGTCATATTTCGGGGGTCATACCTTGGGTGCTTGGCAACAGGCATGTGTTTGTGATGGTTGCGGTGTCCTGGGAATGCTATCTGCAACCTTTCTAAGGAGCTTCTGACAAGCAAAGTCGATCAGAAAATCCAGATTCGCTTAACGATCACATAACTCATTTAGCAACTGTTGTGATTAGCTTAACAGCTGTGGCAAAAAAAGTTTGTAAAATGGGACATGATTCGTTTAACAGCTGCTTTGCTTAGCAATGGAAATTTTGGGCTCAACTGTGGTCATAAGTTGAGGACTACCTGTATTGGAAACTGCTAAAACTAGAGCTCTCCCAAAGAGCCCTTGAAGAGTGTTTGTTACTTTTATTAATAGTAATAATACATTTATTATTGAGTTCGATTTAAAATTGTTTTTATTGGAGGGTTGTTTGGGGGTTAATCCTGGAAGTGTTAATTTCTACGGCGTATTTTTTAACTCTCTAAGCCAGCGAGAGTTGGTGAGAAAGAAAACCAGTAAATAAAACTAATGAAACATATAAAGAAAAGTTACGTTAATGACGGGAGAATTTCAGTTCAGCTTCTAGCCCAGAGCTATTTCTCATGCAACAATTAAGTCTTTAGAGACAAGTAGCCATAAAAACTGGGTTTTGCTTTCTAGGAATATATTTTACAAAAAAAAAAAAAAAAGTTCTCACCCAATTCGGCTGGATTTCAATTCTCATCACAGGTAGTTCTCAACTTACGACCACAACCGAGCCAAACATTTCTAGTGCTAAGTGACTGCAGTTGTTATGTTAGTCACACATTTGTTAAGTGAATCCAGCTTCCCTATTGTCAGAAGATCACAAAAGGTGATCACATGACCCTGGGACACTGCGACCGTCATAAATGGTCAGTTGCCAAGCATCTGAATTTTGACCATGGGGATCTGCAACGATTGTAAGTGTGAAAAATGATCAAAAGTCACTTTTTTTCAGTGCCATTGTAACTTTGAACAGTCACTAAATGAACTGTTTTAAGTCGAGGACTACCTGCATCTGCTACTAAGACAAGCACTGCATGGCCTGCATCAAATCCTAGCTCCTTCATGGGGAACGGACCAAAAAGCTGCAAGTCCAGTTTTTGCTTTCACAAGTTGCATCTCATGGCATGAATATTTTTCGGCCTCAAAGTCACCAACAGGGAGGAAGAGTCAATGAATTCAGACCTTACTAAAACCTATGGTTGCATATAAAGCAACTTCTGCACGCAATTTCCTAGCAGGTCAGTCCAGAAGAAGAGTCCAGGTCATCATCTCCAGTACTAGAAATGTGATCTAAGAAGGGAACGTGTTTGATAGGTCACACCCTAAAGCAAGGGTGGGGAACTATGGCCCTTTTATGACTTGTGGCTCAGGAATTCTGGGAATTGAAGTCCATAAAGAGGCCATAGTTCCCCACCTCTGCCCTAAAGCGACTTGCTAAATTCCTGAGATGCAATTGAATTGGTGATAGAGAATAAGAGGCAGACTGCACCTACCAAGGCTACAATTTGGTCCAAGGACCTACTTTACAATATTTATATATCCTTTCATTCCATATCTGATTTACTATTTGCATTCACGGTGCACTTTACACAACCAAACATCAATATGGTTAGAATAGAGTAACAGAAGAACAGAATTAGAAGGGACCTTGGAGGTCATCTAGTCCAACCCCGATTAGGCAAGAAACCCTATAACATTTCAGACAAATGGCTGTCCAATCTCTTCTTAAAAACTTCCAGTGTTGGACAACCCACAACTTCTGAGGGCAAGCTGTTATATTGATTAATTGTTCTAACGGTCAGGAAGTTTCTCCTTAGTTCTAGGTTGCTTCTCTCCTTCATTAGTTTCCATCCGTTGCTTCTTGTCCTGCCTTCAGGCGCTTTGGAGAATAGCTTGACTCCCTCTTCTTTGGGGCAGCCCCTGAGATATTGGAACACTGCTATCATGTCCCCCCTTGTCCTTCTCTTCATTAAACTAGACATACCCAATTCCAGCAACCATTCTTTGTATGTTTTAGCCTTCAGTCCCCTGATCATCTTTGTTGCTCTTCTCTGTACTCTTTCTAGGGTCTCAACACCTTTTTTACATCGTGGTGATCAAAACCAGATGCAGTATTCCAAGTGTGGCCTTACCAAGGCCTTGTAAAGTGGTACTAATACTTCACGTGATCTTGATTCTATCCCTGTTAATGCAGCCCAGCACTGTGTTGGCTTTTTTGGCAGCTGCAGCACACGGCTGGCTCACATTTAAGTGATTGTCCATTAGGACTCCAAGATCCCTCTCACAGTTACTACTATTGAGCAAGGTAGCACCTATCCTACACCTGTGCATTTGGTTCTTCTTGCCTAAATGTAGAATCTTACTTTTTTCATACTTCCTGCTTCCTACAGTAACTGTATATGGTGATTCTAACTCATTTACTTCTTATTTACTGGATTCTCTACTAAAATTTCCAAGCACATAGCAAAGTTCTGCTTGATTGCAAATGTTATCAGAAAACTCACAACTCTGATTGTTAAGGCGATTAAGGGTACTGAATTGATCTATCATCTTTACATGTAATCCTCAACTTACGACCATAGCTGAGCCCAGGATTTCTCTTGCTAAACAAGGCAGCTGTTAAGTCACCTTGGCCCATTTTACGATCTTTATTGCCACAGTTAAGCAAATCATTGTCGTTATTAAGTGAATCACATGGTCGTTAGGCAAATCCAGCCTCCCCCATTGATTTGGCTGGGAAGGTTACAAATTATGATCACATGGTCCCACAACACTGCAACAGTCATAAATATGAGTCAGTTGCCAAATACCCGAATTTTGATCATGTGACCGTCGGAATGCTCAATGGTCCTAAGTGTGAAAAATGGTCATGGTCAGAATATTATTAATAATCCTTCTCTGTAATCTGCTTCTTTTTGTGCAGTTTTTTTGATCTCTGGCCATAAACTGTTAACACTAAAAGAATCTCACACATGTAATCCAAAGACGCAGAGAAGGTTTGTTGAAGAACTCTATTTATTAAGAGATTTAACAGGCGGAAGTCCAACAGCACAGGGGTCTCCAACCTTGCCAATTTTAAGACTTGTGGACTTCCTCAGCTAGCAAAGCTGGCTGGGGAATTCTGGGAATTGAAGTCCACAAGTCTTAAAGTTGGCGAGGTTGGAGACCCCTGCAATAGCATTCTCTGGGAGTGAAAGTTGACCAAAGCAATTTATAATTTCAAAAATAAAGTCAGTTGAACTATCAATAGATATTTGCAAGAACGCTGATGTAGCTGGGTGCTCGCATGCGCGCACAAGGAGAGAGGGAGAGAGAGAGAGAAAGAGAGAAAACAGTGGCTTCTCTTAGCTATTTACCAGTCTCGTGTGTCCTATGGTAAGTATGAAATCAAAGAACGGCTCCAATCCAGCCCGCTGAGCGGGGGAATTTTCCTGAATCTGCAAAAATGGCAAAGGTGACATATATACATATTGCATAAAAATGAACATCAGCATAAGAATGCATATCCTAAAGAAAGTTGGATGCTTAATGCGAAAAGTATCTGAAATAAACATGATGTAGATTAACCACAGAAATCTGTTATTAATAACTGAAAGGATTTTTTATAATCTGGAGCCCCAAGACTAAAGCTGCCGGACCCAGCAATTTAGAGAGGAGCTGTAGGTGGCACAGTGGTTAGAATGCAGTATTGTAGGCTAACTCACTGCTCACTGCCAGGAGTTCGATTCTGGCAGGTTCAAAGTTGATTCAGACTTCCATCCTTCCAAGGTTGGTAAAATACGCAACAGATTGTTGGGGGCAATATGCTGACTATGTAAATTGCTTAGAGAGGGCTGTAAAGCACTGTGAAGTAGTATATACATCTACGTGCTAGTGCTATTTCCTTGACCCAGCGGCACGATCCAAGGCAATTAAAAAGGAGGCAAGGCTAGGCATCATCTCCTTTCATAGCAAACTTCTTGAATTAAAATTAAATTTTTAATTTTTTTGCAAGAAGGATCTCCATTAAACATTCTCCACAGAACTTCTTGCACTTAGAAATACAGCTTAGTCTTACATATGTTCAGAGAATGCATTTCTGAATGTTTCCTTTAAGCTAGGGGTGTCAAACTCAATTTCATTGAGGGCCGCATCAGCATTGCGGTTGCCCTCGGGGGGGGGGGGTGGCCAGGGTGGGTGCGGCCTACTGGGTGGGCGTGGTTGGAGTGGGTATGGCCTTCTGGGTGGGTGTGGCCAGCTCTACATCGTTCGCGTCAAGGGTGCCTATGGGGGCCTGGGCAGGAGTGGGACAGATCTGAGGGTCTCTGGCAGAAAGGGGATGGACCAGGGCAGAGCCCATCAAGCTGGATATGTGAGGCGAGGGCCATTTGCTGGCCACTTCCAGGCGATGGTGCATTTCTTCATTTCTCACAAAGGGTGACACCTTCCCAGCATGCACCCAGAGGACGGGGCCGACACAGCAGGGGCTGGTTCCTCGCTGTTTCTGGACGGCCTTGTGGAGCTAAGACTGAATGTGTTTCAGCACAGATGGCCACCACAAAATTGTACATTGGCTCCCGGCCGGCCTGGGCCAGGGCCAAGGCAGTGGGGGCCGTTCCCTCGCTGTTTCCAGGATGGCTTCGTGGGCCACATGAAATCACTTCGCGGGCCGCATCCGGCCCCCGGGCCTTGTGTTTGACATGTCTGCTTTAAGTCAAGCTTTATTCCTGATGTCTCTGTGTGCACACCGAGCAATATGGAAAGGTTTTGACTTGGCTTTCTTTCAGGAAGCTTAACTTCTCAACCTGAAAGCCACCAAGTTAAGGGCAACAACCCCCCCCCCCAAACAAGTTAAACATCTCATACCAAGACCTCGCCCAATACCCTTCCTTTAAAAAAAAAAGAACAATAAACTTCTGCAGTCATGACTCATAACTTCTGCACACAATATTTAAAAGGCACAGCACTGATCTTTCAAAGACAAGGCTTAATCATTCTGACCCACCCAATTTACAGGATTCCAATCATCCCCAATTTGGCTATTAGGATAGAGGTTGCAGAATGAGAAATATATTCTGAGATACATTCGGTGCATCAAGGAGACAATATTTACCCTAAATATCCATGCCTAAAGATATTTTACCCATATAATTGTCTCTATTGCTATTATCCTTGTCATTTTCTCATCTTTCTTACTTCTCATCTTAACTACTACATTCTCCTATTGGTATGTTTGCATGTTATGATTTATGACTGTAGGATTCAGGATCTATGACTTATCACTTTGTTGTTTGTATGTACACTGAGAGCTTATGCACCAGAGACAAATTCTATTCTATTCTATTTGATTTTATTTTTATTCCACCTTTATAAGTAGCTCAAGGTGACAAATATATATAATACTCCTTCTTCCTCTTTTCCCCTCAGCAAGCACCCTGAGAGAGAGGGACTGGCCCAAAGTCACTCAACTGGCTTTCTGGGATTATAACTCTGTCTCCCGATTTCTTGGTCAACACCTTAACCACTACATTAAACTGGATATGATGTGATCCTTCCAAGGTATCAACAAGTATAGTCACATTCTATTTTCACCAATACAAAATTCATCCTTCAAGCTGGGATGGCCCTTCTAACAAAAATAGTGGCCATAACAAAAAAAAGAAAAACAAATTCTACACACAGAAAATAAACAGGCATATGGCAACAGCTGTTTTAGGGTTACAGTTAACTTCTTTTTATGCAATTTTGGTGGGCTTTTTACTGCTATAGCCTTTTGCAAACTGCTTTAAGGTCAGCAAAAACAGGGAAGGCTTCAACTATATTCTATAAATTGGTAATAATCCTCCCTACAAAGCAATGAATAGTTACTAATTGGAAGAGCAACAAATTGAGGTATCAGGTGACGGGGCAGGTTTTCTGTAGTTATGAACAAAGCTAACTGGGCCCTGATTAGGGCTTACAAAAAAAAAAAACCAGCAAGGGAACCCCAGACTAGGGGTCAGGCTGGGGAGTCAGGAAAATGCCCTGTGGACGAAGGCAATTCTCAAACTCTTCCATAGAGCTGTCAAGGAAATTATCAAGTAGCCTTATGGAAAGCCATTTGCGGTTTTCTGGTCTATTTCATTTCTCCAACTTTCTTCCTGGATCTGGTCTCTCAGGGGACTGGAAGCTCCCGTTGAGGCTGTATAATGGCTGTTCTTCTGGGACCCTTTTAATGTGCAAAACAGGATGAAAATACTTGAAATAAGGGCATCAGCCAGCAGTTTACTCTAGACTCTAGTGGTTAAGTCACCAAGCTAGAAAGCAAGAGCCCTGAGTTCCAGTCCTGCCTTAGCCATGAAAGCCAGTTAGTGACTTTGGGCCAGTCACTCTCTCTCAGTCCAACTCACCTCACGGGGTGGCTGTTGTTGTGGGGAAAGAAAGAGAAAGCCTTGTTGGATATGAGTCATGTATGAAACATGTATGAAAATAATAAAGAGGATGGATATATATATACATATATAGATAATATACACACACATACACTGATACATATATATGCATACACTTATACATATACATACATACATATATACAAACACACATACATATATATGCATACATTTATACATATACATACATACATATATACAAACACACATACATATACACATATACATACACACATATAAATATACATACACATATATATATATATATACACATACATACACACATATACATATATAAAAATATTACACTCAGCGTCACAGGCGGCACTTCCCACGTTCCCTTCCCAGCTGCTTACTTGTCCTCAAGAGAGATTAGAATGTCCATCATCCCCATCCGCTGGATGAGAACAATGGGTATTGGGGTCCATCACGTCTGGAGAGAAGCTTCAGGGGACAAGCGGGGGCTTAATCCCAGAGCGATTGGACTAACGCCCGTCCTTCCCACCCACTGGCTGAGGATGATGGGCGCTGGAGTCCAGCTTCGATTTAGGGCCGTCTTCACCCTCTGTGGGTCCCTCCAGGGAGACGCTGCTTACCCCGTGCACATGATAACCCTCGGAGCCCCCGTTGGGAACCTCGGAGCTGGAACTCAGCCCCATGGCTGCCCGGAGAGACACCGACTCAGGCGCTGGGAGAAGAGCACGCCGGTCTCGCCGTCTCCATCGCCGCCGGCCGCCAACGACACAGGTCTACGGCTTCCAACGCTGCAAACCCTTGGGCGCATGCGCGAGCGGAGGCCGCCGGGAAAAGAACAGCCAACGAAGCAAGCTGGGCGACGCCCGCGCGCCTCATAGGCTGCAGCGCCTGTCTGTCACCTAACGTCCACGAAGGAGAAGAGTAGAGGGGCTTAGCAACGAAGGGGGCGGGGAAAGATTGCCGAAGAGGAGGGAGGCGTAATCCCCGCGCTCTCCAGGAAAGAAGGGGCGTGGCGGAGAAGGGAGAGAAAAGAGGAGCAGCTGCCCCACGATTGGTTGCTGAAGACGTTCATCTTGAGGCGGGGTCGGGACCGGCTGGCGGCGCGCGCTTTGTCGGTTAGGAGGGTCGAGGCGGTTTCGCAGGGAGCGTTTCGCTTCCCCTTAGAGAGGGAGCGATGGCTGTCGCGGACCCCCAGTCCATGGTAGTCGCCTCCACACGCTCCCGTTTCTAATATAAAAATATACACCTGTTTCTAATATAAAAACACGGCTATGTGCAACTTGAGTTAATCTGGGTAGAGTGGCTGTATGGGATGGCTTCATATACCTCAGCCGCTTCAAATTAGTGTGGAAAGAAAGACTGGGGAATTCTGGGAATTGGAAGTCCACACATCTTAAATTAGCTGAGGCATAGAAACATATCCTTAAAGAAAACACTTTATGTTTATTTTCAATCCAAGATAGTCCTCGAATTACAACCATTGGTTTAGTGACCCTTTGATGTTACGATGGCAATGAAAAAAATGACTTAGGACCATTTCAGCTTCCTCAATGTTCTTTGCAGCTTCCCCAAAATTGGGATGCTTGGCAACTAGCTAGTATTTATGATGTTTGCCAGAGTTGTGTGATCACCATTTGCGACCTTTTGACAAGCAAAGTTAACAGGGAAGCTGGATTCACTTAACAAGCATGTTACTAATTTAACAACTGAAGTCACTTAACAACTGTGGCAAGAAAGATTGTAAAACAGGGCAAAACTCACTTAACTGTCTCGCTTACCAACATAGATTTTGGGCTCAGTTATGGTTGTAAACTGAGGACTACCTGCTTGAAGATTTTGTTTAGTTGTGTTATATAATATTCTAACTATGAAATCCTAGAATTGGATTTTTAATTATTTAGTGTGATCTAGATCAGACATGTCAAACTCGCGATGTCACGTGATGTCGTGCAACGTATGAGGACAGTTTTGCCATTGCTGGCAATGGGGTGGGCACAGCTTCTGCATGACGCATCTGGCCCATGGGCCAGCAGTTTGACACCCCTGACCTAGAGGATTTTGGCTGATCTCAAAAATCTAATAAGGTCAGATCGGATTAATATTTAGATGGGAGACCACCAAGGAATCCTAGATTTTAAAAAAATCACAAAAGAAAGTAACGTAAACCAACTTTCAAATGGTTGTCCTAAGATCTATGTGGTGGTTAAGTTTCAGTTTCAGTTTAAAATGAATTTAAACATGTTTGGAATAAACACATGTCTGTCATCTGACAAAAATAAAAAGAAATAATAAAAATTAATAATAAATTAAAAGGAAAACAAAAACAAATAAACAAAAAACTCAAAAGGCAGACTCAATAGACTACCTGGTCTTTTTCTGCCATTAGTTTTCTATGTGTCTATGAGATATCCATGAATAAAGCTCAAATGCGAAACATATTTTACCCAACTTAGTTTTATACCCAAGTAAAAGAAGCTAGTAAATCAAGCTAAATTTCCAAATAAAAGAAGCTAGTAAATCAATGACAATTTGATCAGCATGGTACTTGCAGCTGGTTTGTTGAAATTATTCTCTGTTACTTTTTATGACAAAAATAAATGTCTGGCAACATCATTTTATTGAATAGTTTGTACCATTGTACATGATAGATGTAGTGAGGATTTCTTTTAAATGCTGTTAGATAGCGGATCCAATCTCTCTGCTTTCATATGTATGTAGTGAGCAGACCCAAAATAACTTTTCAACTCCTCTTTTTTTCATCTCAAGGCTAGAATTCTATACTATGCTCAGGAAAAATATTTCAACCATGTTATTCAAGCAACGAACATTGAACTGTCAAAACATGCTCATGATCCAGTGCTGCTATTTTTCAAGGGTCTTGGAACCTTGTTTCTGGGTAATTAGTAAAAAATATTATTTAAAATAAATTAGTTGTACTGAGTAAACACTGTAGGATTAGAATTAATGTTTCTGGAACAGTAATTGGAAATAAATGTGGAACAAGTGTTGTAAACTTTGTACAGTTTAGAAATGATGATTAATTTACATTCACAATCTGCCATACCTAAGCAAATTAGTCATCATAAAGAATTAAGAGATCTCTGAATTAAAACTGAAAATTGAAAAGCTAGAACAAAATCTCCTTGGGTTAAAAAACAGGCGTGTGGTAGAACTTGATAGGGCAACTCAGTAAATCAAAATTAGTCTTGAGCAGGTAAGTAGTCTAAAAGATAGCATGAAATCAAAAGATATTGAAATGTCTCAAAGCAATAAAAATAAACTAATTAATACATTAAAAATACACCAATTTCCAAATACCATGAAAAGCAAAATTAGCAAACTAAATGTATGAGATCTACATATTAATAAAACATGAGAAAAACACAAAAATAAAATATACAATACCAAGGATTGGAAAACAATATTGCATTTCCCTTAGGTCATTTTCACCCAGGCATAAAAATCAAGCCTCTATTTTGCATGAATTGCACTGGCTATAGGATTAGCTTTGCTCCCCAAAGTAATTGTGTTTATGTTTATGTTTGTTTATGTTTATTTAGATTTGTATACCGCCCTATCTCCCTTACGGGACTCAGGGCGGTGAACAGGCGATAATAAAAATCACAATAAATATCTATTCTAAAATCAAATTAAATAAATAAAGGCCTGCTCTAAAATACCCCATATAAAAACCTATACTAAAACCTAATTAAGACTACGCCAGGCACGAAATAGATGAGTTTTCAGGGCTCGGCGAAAAAGGCCGAGACTTTACAGAATAAGAGTTGGAAGGGACCTTGGAAATCTTCTAGTCCAACTCCCTGCTCAATACCATTTCAGATCAGTGGACTGTCCAGTCTCTTCTTAAAAACCTCCAGTAATGAAGCACCCACAACTTCTGAAGGGAAGCTGTTCCACTGGTTGATTGTTCTCACTGTCAGGAAATTTCTCCTTAGTTCCAGGTTGCTTCTCTCCTTGATTAGTTTCCATCCATGAATTGTACTGATTATAGAATTAGCTTTCCCCTCCAAAGTAACTACCTTTATGGTAGTTTCCAAGTGAAATATATTAAAAACTAAACTCATTGCTTTGCACCTTTACAGGCCGAATCCAAGAAGGCATCTCACTGCTTGAGAATGCCCAGAAACGACACGTTGATGTTTCCTTATGCTGCCTTCTAGGTCTCATTTATGCTCACAAAAGATGTGAAAATGTTGGTGAGTTATTAGTTTAAAATGAAAGCTATAGCATATTTCCAAGAGTTGTCTTTCTTCCTTCTCTTCCATTATGATCCCTCTTATGATAACGCTGAATTATGCAGAGGGAAAATAGCTAAAGTTGGAAAGCCTAGACTGAGGAAAACTTGGCCAAATAAATATTGAGTTTCAGAGAAGAATAAGACGAGACAAGCAGTTATTTTTAAATAATAAATACAAAGAAATTGTATTTAAAGATAAAGGTCAAATCGAAGAATTATTTAAGAACATTACAAAATGAAGGAAATGCTTTAAGTAAAAAAGTGGAAGAAAAAATAAAGAGTTAATGCAAGAATGTTACAAAAAAAAATCTGCAAATCAATTATTTATACAATGGTTTGATAAATCAAAGGCAAATGAAAAGGAAGCCAAGAGAAGAAACTAGCTAGGTATTATCACTAATGATACAAGAATGAATTTATAGGAACTCAAAAGAAGTTGTTATTAAAAGACAATCCTTATGAAAAGACATAAACAATCACAGCAGCTGGACAACAATAACCCAGAATGAGATGGGGTCATTTACTTCAAACAAATTATCTGTTGAGATACAATGTTAATAATTGCAATAATATTTAATTCTAATCTACACCTATGGCCAGTGTCCCAAGGGTGGCCTCTGTGTGTGTCAATATACCTGCAGGTACTTATTTTGATGCCTGCCAGGCTTCCTGTCATATTTGACCTTTAAGATTTTTCCAATATTTTAAATTTTAAATAGAAATTGAAGCAAAGCAAAGCAATAGTGTTCAGAATGATTTTATTTCCTGGAATGCTTTAGACTCCATAAGCAAGGAATAAAAATAGTGAATGAGCTAAAGCTTAGTGGTCAGAAAAATTACAAAGATATGCTGCTTTCTGATTTGTTTTTGAGAGAAAGACCACAATATAATTACGAAATGTCGAACAGTGTTGGCCTCTGTTCTCGGAATATACTATATCCATAAATATTCAAGCATGTCAATTGTAATATCATAACTGCCTCAATTTTTAACAACTTCAATAGGGTTTGGCTTATGTAACATGGAATGCTGCTATGTGAAGAATGCATTAAATGGTATTCATTTGGATTTACTTGAATAAGTACATAAAATATATAAAATTAAACACATAATTATATAACCTTTTTCACTGTTTAAAAATAATATGATTTCTACAATAGAGTGCTACATGAAAGGAAGCACATTACAGCAATTCTAAGTATTCTTAGAATCTAATCTGATTCTAAGATTTCTCATTCTGTGTTTTCTCCTCTTTCCTGGTGTAACTCCATTCTCCCTGTTACTTTCTTTGAACCAGGATTTGAAAAAAAAATTCTTTCATTTGGAATTCTATATTGCTGCTATTTCCAAATGATCTTTTGATGAATACGCGAGGATTACATAAATTAATTTTGAAAAGTTTGTTTTGAAAAAAAAAATTGATTAGTAAAGATTTTCTTTATTATTTTGAGATAGTTGACTAGTGTAAGGTCTTCTTTTTCATTTTCAGTAGTTCTTTGGCTGCCATTTTACTTAGCAGAAAACACTCCTTTTGAATTACTTACAATATATGAAAATAAAACAAGTGGAAACAAAAATAATTGTCATCTGTCCTGGTTTTTTTTTCAGATTCATCTGCTGTTTTGGACTTAGAAACCAAGTTGAAGGAAGCACGCAAAACTGCTGGAAGCAATGCACTGTATTATGCAGGGCTGTTTCTGTGGCTAATGAATAAGAATGATAAAGCAAAGGAGTATATTGACAAAATGTTGAAAGTATCTAATGGAGCAAAAGAGGTACAATGGATTAGAACAGGCAGTTTCCCATAACTGAACTCTGAAATGTACTGAAAATGGGTTTTAATTTTTAATATTTTGTAAAATGTAAACCCCCTAGGACATAATATGTTTCCTCAGTCTTTCTGAGGCAATAATTGGGCAGTTACTCTTCTGTACATATAAGGAAGAGAATGGACATCCTTGTCTGATGTCTTTATTATTGAAAAGTTTATGGAAAGTGTTCCTTTAACTTTGATCTTTGCTGCTGGCATATACTTTCTATCCAGATTTTGAATTCTTCTCCAGGATTTACTTATGAGCTGTGGAATATTGACACAAAACTCTGAGGTTTTAGTCTTGATGAAAGCCTTGAGCTAGCTAGTCTAGAAGCTTTGGCTATTCACTTCCTACAACCTTTGTTCCCACTGGATATTAGAAATATTGACCAAAACTAATTGGCCATAAAACTAATTTATAAAGAGTCACAAATTAGTGTCTTGGAACAAAAGAAAGCACAAGTGATAGATGGACAGGAACTCTAGGTATGGCTTAGTTGAGTAGAAAATACTACAGAAAGATATTTCCCATTTGTTCTTGAAATAATTCTGGAATACATTTCCCCAAGTTAAAATCTTTTTAATACATATAATATGACCTTAACAGAAACCGGAATGTCAAGGATACAAAGATTTATTCTGTGCTGTGTTAATATGCTAGCTTTATCTGTGGTTAACTGAACTATAGATTTATCTGTGGTTAACTGAATTCATTTAACCAAAACAATGATTCACGAAACAAGCAGAATTATAGTTGGCTTGTTTGTGGTTCAGTATGTCATATGAACAGAGATACATTTTCCCCCTTGTTTTGGTGTAGGGAATCATAAAAAAAGCACATTTCTAGGAATGTGGCAGAAGAATGCTATTTTTTTCTTGGCTAAATATAATAGTGTTTCCAGGATGGTCAAAATCTGCATGACAGTGGGAATGATATTATGATGCAAGCCCTAATACTTTTATATGTACGTACATACTCCCTCCAGACACCACCAGCCATATATTAAGAGGGTTGAAATTAGAATGTTTTACATTTATATGTGTAAAATAAGACATTTTCATCTTTTAGTGCTGTAATAATATTTTTATTATTCAACTGCATTTTTATAAGTATCATATAGTAAATAAACATGGAATGTATAGAACATCCTTTGCTGTTCTTATGTTCTGTTGTACCACTTCATTAAATATCTTAAAAGTTCATCACTTTTTAAAATTGCTTCAGGGGCAGGTTTTGAAAGGTTGGATTTATGTTACCTCTGATAAACAGCATTCTGTTAAGAAATCTATTAAATACCTGGAGGAAGGAATTCAAGACAATACAGATATATTTGGGATGATGGGAAAGGTAGGTTATTACTTTTGGTTTTGTATCTTCAAATTGTTAGGGACATATAAAGAGAAGATTTAGGCTTGTTCCTGCTGTCAGTTGAGAAGTCTAATACAGGCTGCATATTCTTGGCTGAGCTTAAAAAGCAGAACAGCTAAGTCAGTATTACTGGATCCAGGCACCTCCTGAATCATAAAAGCAGCTAGGAAGGTGATTCATGGTTATGCCTAGGCCATGGTGTTGACCTCTCTGAAGAAGGAGTGGTTCCTCCTGCCTTGAAAAAGACACTGGTACTCTCCCTTCTCAAATAACTATCAAACCCATCAGTTTTCAACAACTACCAATCAGTCTCTAACATTCACTTTCTAGGAAAGGTTTTTGAGAAAGTGGTCAGCCTGCAGTGATGAGAATCCTGGAGGAAAAAGGTTATCTAGACCCGTTTCAGTCAGGTTTTAGCCCGGATTTGGGACCGAGACAGCCTTGGTCATCCTTGTCAAAGACCTATGGCGGAGCTGAGATATTAATGGCACATCCAACCTTGTGCTTGATCTCTCAGCAGATTTTAATACCATTGACAACTATATCCTTCTGGAGCAGCTCAGTGGGTTGGTAGTGGGGGCACTGTCTGTTACTCTCTTCTCAATTCTGGCTTTTTATCCATTTGTTCTTAAGGCTTGTGTTCTTGTGCAATCAGAATTAGTCCATCGGTCTCTTTCTTCAACTTTCCTGCTCTTAGCTTGCCAGGTCTTTTTAGTTTATCTCTTAATTTTTTAACATACTGCCTATGTAATACTTTGTCTTATTTATCTTTTTTCCATTCTTTATTTTATATGGTTAATCCCACAATCAGTCAGATGTTTAGAATCCTTCCCAAGGACCTGAGATAGGCAGATGGTGGTAACATCACAGGATGTAAGTTGTTGAGTCGCCAGCAGAGTGGTGGAAATGTTGGCAGCGGTGGCAGTAGGGTAGCAATTCTAAATTTACTACTTCTTAAAAACCATTGGTGAGTCGTACAATGCAGCTTGGCTGGGCGCATATTGTTCAGGCTGCTAAATGGTATTGCTAAGTTAGGAGATCCTAACTAACATCTTAATGTATACAGAATTCATATTTTGTTTGTTTTCAAGAAATAGAATTGTTTGAAATAATCATTTTGGAATCACACAAATTATTTTATAAATATATACATATGAATTTATTTATTTAACTGAGCTGTGGTGGCACAGGGGTTAAAATGCAGAATTGCAGGCTGACTCTGCTTATTGCCAGGAGTTTGATCTTGACAGGGCTCAAGGTTGACTCAGCCTTCCATCCCTCCGAGGTCGGTAAAATGAGGACCCAGACTGTTGGGGGGCAGTAGGCTGACTCTATAAACTGCTTGGAGAGGTCTGTAAAGCACTATGAAGTGGTATATAAGTCTTAAGTGCTATTGCTACTGCTATTTATTTAAAACATTTATATAGCTGCCCATCTTAGAACCAGCTGGGCACTCCCAATCAAATGCCAGATCTATATTGAATTTAGACAATTTAATTATCAAATTTAAATGGTTAGGACAACAACACAAAGTTACTTAAATGCCTTTTACAAATAATGCATTTTTCCTTCCTTTTATCCCAACTGACTTCTCTGCCTCTGCAGGCCAAGTATTTCATGGTGCATCAGAATTATTCAGGGGCTCTGGAAATAATTAGCCAGTTAGTGGTCACTTTTCCTTCCTTCGTGCCAGCCCTTGTAACTAAGATGAAACTACATTTAGCAATGCAAGACTGGGAGCAAAGTGTTGAAGAAAGTAAACGGTAGGAGCTTAAAAAAAAATAGAAGATTGAGGGAAATTCCTTCAATTTTAAAATGTTTGGGCTGCTTTATGAAGTTGCTTCCCTCTACCTGCCCTGTACTTACAAAGAATATGTAACCCATTTGGTTCTCTGATTCAGCTTATCCTGTCTTCCTGATGCTTGTAAGTCAACTTTCTCGAGCCTGGTCCCGTCCAGAGGTGACTTGAATGGTTGAGAACTGTAGTCCAATATATCCTAAAGATATCACATTAGGGAAAGTATTCTAGACTTTTCAGTTCATTGCGCTGATATCTGCTAGAAATAAACAGAGCTTAACATGAACCCTGCTGTATAAATCAAGAGCTCATTTATGAGATCTTAGTTATCTCATAGATTTTATAACTAAAATAACTAAGATGAGATCTTAGTTCTCATAGCAGATATCCGAGTGTTTCAAATTGTTCCCAGTGAAATATTGCCTCTAAAGGCAGACATTCCACTTTGCTATCGTTTACGTTTATCATACTTAGAAAGTCCTCAGACAGAAGCTGCCTTAGTCCAATAGGGGAGACGTGATAGCAGTCTTCCAGTATCTGAGGGGCTGCCACAAAGAAGAGGGGGTCACATTATTCTCCAAAGCCCCAGAGGGCAGAACAAGAAACAATGGTTGGAAACTGATCAAAGAGAGAAGCAACCTGGATTTAAGGAGAAACTTCCTAACAGTGAGAACAATCAACCAGTGGAACAGCTTGCCTCCATAAATCGTGGGCGCTCCATCACTGGAGACTTTTAAGAAGAGACTAGACATTCACCTGTCTGAGATGGTATAAGTTCTCCTGCTTGATCAGGGGGCTGGACTAGAAGACCTCCAAGGTCCCTTCCAGCTCTATTCTATTCTATTCTATTCTATTCTATTCTATTCTATTCTATTCTAAATAGACAATGATAAGATGCTGTTGTTTGTCTTTTATACATTTTTCAAATTAGAGTACTGTCAGGTTCCCATCTAACTTTTAATTAAACCAGTGGAGCTTACTTTTCTGTGTTTTGGAGCCTATAGGGGCCCAAACCTAGCACTTGTTAACTATTCTATAAGTTATTGTTTTTAACTTTAAAGGTTGCTGACTGGTTTTATGTTTCGGCATCTTGATAATCTGAAGAATCATTTTGCCCAATTATCTGAAGCTCTACCAGCTCTATTTAGCTCTGAAAAATAATCAATAAATTATAGCCCATTCCAGCATAACTTTTAACCAGATAGAATTAGAATAGATTAATACAGTGGTGGCGAACCTATGGCATGGGTGCCAGAGGCGGCACTCAGAGCTCTCTCTGTGGGCACGCGAGACGTCGCCCCAGTCCTAGGCCTTCAGCTGGGTTTTATAAAACCTTTTCGCTTTAGGCCTCTGCCGCCGTGTGCAAAAAAAAAAAAAAAAAGATTCAATCAATCAGTCAATTTCAACTTCTCGCGGGGGAAAAAAAGATCTTGCAAAGTTGGAATTGATTGATTGAACTTTTTAGTCCCATCCA